TCTCTCTCTCTCTCTCTCTCTCTCTCTCTCTCTCTCTGTCTCTCTCTCTCTCTCAAAATTACTCCTACATATGCAGTTGGTACCATGTATTGCTAATAAATACCTAATACAGAACTTTATACACATAACTTATAGGACTTAACTTTAAAATGTTTCTTTTGTCCGAGTAAATGTGTATTTCTAGTTAGGAATTTGCCTCAATAACTCAAATGTTAATTACAAATATTTAACCACCATGCTGTGCCGAGTTTATTGTGAAATTCCCACTGTGCGCATGAAATAGTGTTCCGAAAAAATTCTTTTTTCCTAGTAAAATGATAAATTCCCTTCCCTGAACATGTCTATGTAAAAATAAATACCAAATTCCAATTACTTTGGCTCTGGGGACGTGGACAAGGTGCGCTGTGATGTCATCAGGGCCTTGTCGCCCGTGCATGAATCGCCCAGACACGGTCACGCAGGCCATTCAAACACCGGGTGCTGCCACAAATATATTTTCAATTATTTGTTCTATGTATTTCCAATGTTGTTTAATTTGTTTTTTATCGTATATGATGCATATTTGTGTCCTTTACAATATGTATACAATAGAATGTTCATAATGTTCCATGGAACTGTGATATATGTGCCGATAATGTATCCACAATAAATGTTTATTGTTTATTGGATGTTTAAAATTCACTAAAATTACAATATGTACAGTTTCACAGTAACACAGTAGCACAGTATTTACACAGTAACGCACTATATTACACACTTAGTACTTCGGAAGCGAGTAATAATCAACAAAGTAGTCCATGGTGCACAGCGCGACTTCGCTCTCATTGCACCAGGTATAGATAAATTTTCGCTTCCTGTTTCTTCATTCTGTGTGCTTGCAAATAACGCACTCACGTACACCCTTGGCTTTAGTACTTGTAGGTTGTATGTAACCAAGCTTGTAAAGCATAAGGTAGTATTGAAAAGATCATAGGAAAAGATCAATTTGTAAGGTAGTCTTGAAAAGATTGCTTTGTATGGTCCCACACTGGAAGAGATTCGGCTTGCCTCAAAGAGGCAAGAAGGAAGCTTGCCTCCTTCGTCAGTCAGAAGGAGATTCGGCTAGCCTCAAAGAGTGTCCGTCAGTCAGGAAGAGATTCAGATATTCTTGAAAATATCTATGGGAAACACCACCATGGAAGCCGCTAACACTGTTCATCTATGCTACTTGTATCAGATGCATCATCACTGAACTCAGAAAATGATTCATCTATGTATCATCTAAATAAATTGGAAACAGCATAGGATTGCAAGGGTGACGCTCAGAGCTACAACTGGATACGTTCGCTGTATCGTCCTCATAGGTGCTGTATCACTTGCATCCGACCTTTGTGTTAGGTCCTTATTGCGCCTAGCTTCACCAATATTATGACCCTTATGTTCTTCAAACAATAAGGTTTGAATTTCACAGACAGAGCGTCGTTCAACACCGCGTCGGACAGGTGTTTGGGAGCCAGAGGCACGTGTGCCACCCATGGTTGCTCACTTAGAACTAACCCAGCCAGCAGCCGTAGGGCATTCTGGGAATTTTTTCCAAGATGGCTGCCTCTCACTGGCGGTCCTAAGAGTCCATTTCATACACAACCAACCTCGTGCACATTTAGAGTGGGTACGAAAAATCAAAGAGTTTTCTTGTTTTCTTGGTTGGCGCAGTTTCCCACCGACCGAGAATACTCGGTTGGCGCAGTTAAGTGGTTAAGTACAATTTATACTGAAATGCTTATTACTTTTCCTTAATGTAGTATAAAAAGTTACACAAGGGATTGAATTTCTATATTACACTAATTAGTAAGTACAGTATAGTAATTTAAATTTTTTATGCTACCATTTCAAATTAAGATTATTTTAATACTTGCATAGTTTTGTATATATTTTCTATACAGTATTTATGTAACATGAAAACTAAATTTTAAGGCTGTAGAATCATAGCATTATTTTGATAACTGTGGTTCCTGTTATGCACATACAACATTTGTTTAATTGGTATATTCCATTGTATCTTATTTCTTAACATGCATTTGAAAACAAGAGCTCACTAACATGAAATTTTAAACATTTTCACCAGATGCAGCTGCCAATACTGTATTGATTCATTTACAGTTATGCAATCTCATTTAGATGAGCTTTTGATATTTTCATAAAACAGTAAATTAGTAATTTGTTTCTTGTATTGCATTGTTAAGAAACTTAATCCGTGCTTTATTCTAGCTTGTGAATGAAATGTCATCAGCCGCCGGCCACCCCTGTGATGTAGACCCGGCATTAGTCAATGTATTACGATCACACAAAAGTGGTAAGAAACAAATTATATTTTCTTCAGTACAGTTCTGTATATACATGTCTTAAGTGAATATTAGCTGTGGAAGTGAATGTAGTAGTGAGAAGTAAAGTAATTACAGTAAGGTTGTGAAAAATCTGTTGAATGGTCATGAAAAATCTGTTGAAATGGTGGAGAATTTGACATACCATAGATGGTGAAGCAAACACAGAATTCTTTTGAGCTTGTATAGTTGGAGAGAGAAAAGTCAAACTTGTGAGGGAATGTAAGGAAGATGAAAGATCATAGTTGTAAAGTGATAGAAAATCTCCAAATATAAGTTAGTGGAATAAACAGTATCACTATAAAAACAGGAAAAGTGATTTTGATGTCTTTCCTTTAATTGTTAACTTTTAACAATTGAAGGAAAGGTTTTTGGTGTCTTCCTTTCCTGTTAATTTTAAGTAGATAATAGTCCAGGATGGATACAAAAAATCTAATGTTTGGACTTAGTGTATAGATATAGGTAGGGCACCTTAAGAAAGAAATTAGAGAATCAGAAAAGTCAGGAAACGAATCAAATAAAAAATAAATAAATAAAACAGAGAATGAAGTGAGAAATGTTCTGGAAGAGAGGAGGCAGGCTGATGCATACAAGAAAGTATACAAAATAGAATAGAAAGGTAAATTAAGGAATGAGGAAATCAAGGAGATTGATGGCCAAATGAGGAAGACAGAAAATGATAAATGGGTATCATGGTAGAGATGACATACAGATGCAGCAGGACTTCCTGAGACAGCACTATGTACAGTCACCAAGGAGCAGTAAGGGAACTCTCCCAAAGATACTAGTGTTCACATATGTAAACCACTCCCATAATCTGTTGAAGTAACAAAAACAAAAGGAAAATAGAAGAAGCCAGACATACTGTACTGCATAACATATAAATAAAACAAAATTATGACAGCCTACATAAAGTGGCAACATAATGGTCCTCAACAGCACCCACTGCAAACAGGGGCAACCATTACCACCATAAAAATGCTTTCTCAATAATCAAGTTCAAATTAATAAGCAACTATGCCTACAGACAATCTTTACATAAAATGCAATACTGTACCTATGTATGTACCCCAGTAACAGTGCCAGCTATGTTCTGCAGCTATGCATAAAAGATAACTATGCGTAACTACACTTAGGTAATTACATATACACACATCGGGCCTGGTAGCCTGGTGGATAGCGAGCAGGACTCGTAATTCTGTGGGGCGGGTTTGATTCCTGCACCAGGTAGAAACAAATGGGCAAAGTTTCTTTCACCCTGAATGCACGTTACCTAGCAGTAAATAGGTACCTGGAAGTTAGCCAGCTGTCACGGGCTGCTTTCTGGGGTGTAATTACCTAAGTATAGTTACAGGATGAGAGCTACGCTCGTGGTGTCCCGTCTTCCCAGCACTCTTTGTCATATAACGGTTTGAAACTACTGACGGTCTTGGCCTAAACCACCTTCACACCAAACTTGTTCCAACCGTCTACCACTATGTTTGCGAAAGTGAATTTTCTTATATTTCTTCGGCATCTGTGTTTAGCTAGTTTATATCTATGACCTCTTGTTCTTAAAGTTCCAGGTCTGAGGAAATCTTCCCTAATGATTTTATCAATTCCTGTTACTATTTTGTATGTAGTGATCATATCACCTCTATTTTCTTCTGTCTTCTAGTTTTGGCATATTCAATGCCTCTAACCTCTCCTCGTAGCTCTTGCCCTTCCATTCTGGGAGCCACTTAGTAGCATGTCTTTACACCTTTTCCAGTTTGTTGATGTGCTTCTTAAGATATGGGCACCACACAACTGCTGCATATTCTAGCTTTGGCCTAACAAAAGTCATGAACAATTTCTTTAGTATATCGCCATCCATGTATTTAAAGGTAATTCTGAAGTTAGAAAGCGTGGCATAGGCTCCTTGCACAATATTCTTTATGTGGTCCTCAGGTGATAGTTTTCTATCTAGAATCACCCCTAGATCTCTTTCTTTATCAGAATTCTTTAAAGATTTCTCACATAATATATAGGTTGTGTGAGGTCTATGTTCTCCTATTCCACATTCCATAACATGGCATTTATTAACATTAAATTCCATTTACCAAGTGGTGCTCCATATACTTATTTTGTCCAGGTCATCTTGAAGGACATGACAATCATCTAAATTTCTTATCCTTCCTATTATCTTAGCATCATCAGCAAACATGTTCATATAATTCTGTATACCAACTGGTAGATCATTTATGTAGACAATAAACATCACTGGTGCAAGAACTGAACCCTGTGGTACTCCACTTGTGGCATTTCTCCAGTCCGATACATTGCCTCTGATCACAGCCCTCATTTTTCTATCAGTCAGAAAATTTTTCATCCATGTTAGAAGCTTACCTGTCACCCCTCCAATATTTTCCAGTTTCCAGAACAACCTCTTATGTGGAACTCTGTCAAAAGCCTTTTTTAGGTCCAGATAGATGCAGTCAACCCAACCATCTCTTTCCTGTAATATCTCTGTTGCTCGATCATAGAAACTGAGTAAATTCGATACACAGGATCTTCCAGATCGAAAACCATACTGTCTGTCTGATATTATATCATTTCTCTCCAGGTGTTCTACCCATTTAGTCTTAATTATTTTTTCCAATATTTTGACTATTACACTTGTCAATGATACCGGTCTATAATTAATGTTAGCTTTTTTCTACACATCAGCTACAACTCCTGTAAACAGGGATGCCTGAAAAATCAGTTGAAGAGGAATGCTGAGCTCAGAGGCACATTCTCTCAGAACCCATGGTGAAACTCCATCTGGACCAACTGCTTTGTTCTTATTTAGCTCCTTGAGCATTTTTTCCACTTCGTCTCTAGACACCTCTATGTGCTCTATGTTGTTCTCTGGAATTCTTATTGTATCTGGTTCCCTGAAGATTTCATTTTGTACAAACACACTTTGGAACTTTTCGTTTAATGTTTCACACATTTCCTTTTCATTTTCCGTGAATCTATTTCCCATTTTCAACCTCTGAATATTATCCTTTACCTGCAATTTGTTGTTTATGAATTTATAGAATAGACCTGGTTCTGTTTTACATTTGCCTGCAATCCCTTTTTCAAAATTTCTTTCTGCCTTCTGGTTGGCTTCTTCCCCTGCGCTTCATGTCATCTTGAGGGTGGGTGCGTTTGGGCATGGTCGATCCGCCCCTATCCTTCCGGGGTTCCCACCTGTTCCAATGCCTACACGGGCCTTTGCAGCTCTGCGGTTCTTCTGGGCTTGTTCAGTCTGCGCCCTGGATTCTTTGCCCCTCTTCGGATGACTGTTGTCTCCGGTCTGGCTTCTGTTAGGGTCGGGTGCCTGGATGGTGTGTCTGGACCTCCGGGTCACTTCTTGGCACGTTCCTCTCCAGAGTTCCAGGACTGGCACCTAGTTTGTATTTGGCACTTAGTGTATTTACGTACCTTTACCGGATCTTGGTGACCTGTCTGCATCTGCTTGGGATTCGGTTTTCTGGCCTACCTCGACGACTGGCTGGTATGGGCTCCCAGTTGGTCCGCTTGTCTGCTCGCCAGGGGTGTGGATCTTTCTAGATCGCCGGGTTCGGTTTCCTGGTGATCTGGAGGCCGTTCCATCTGTTTCTGTCCCGGGTTCGGACCTGGCTGGGTCTTGTTTAGGGCTCTTGGGCCACTCCTTGTCTTTCCCTCCAGAAGTACTCACCAAGTTCTCACCTAGTTGTGTTTGTGGGGGTTGAGCTCTGGCTCTTTGGTCCCACCTCTCAACCATCAATCAACAGGGGTACAGATTCCTGAGCCTATTGGGCTCTATCATATCTACACTTGAAACTGTGTATGGAGTCAGCCTCCACCACATCACTTCCTAATGCATTTCATTTGTCAACCACTCTGACACTAAAAAAGTTCTTTCTAATATCTCTGTGGGTCATTTGGGCACTAAGTTTCCACCTGTGTCCCCTTGTGCGTGTGCTCCTTGTGTCTTTATCTACCCTATAAATTCCCTTCAGAATCTTGAATGTGGTGATCATGTCCCCCCTAACTTTTCTGTCTTCCAGCGAAGTGAGGTTTAATTCCCGTAGTCTCTCCTCGTAGCTCATACCTCTCAGCTCGGGTACTAGTCTGGTGGCAAACCTTTGAACCTTTTCCAGTTTAGTCTTATCTTTGACTAGATATGGACTCCATGCTGGGGCTGCATACTCCAGGATTGGCCTGACATATGTGGTATACAAAGTTCTGAATGATTCTTTACACAAGTTTCTGAATGCTGTTCGTATGTTGGCCAGCCTGGCATATGCCGCTGATGTTATCCTCTTGATATGGGCTGCAGGAGACAGGTCTGGCGTGATATCAACCCCCAAGTCTTTTTCTTTCTCTGACTCCTGAAGAATTTCCTCTCCCAGATGATACCTTGTATCTGGCCTCCTGCTCCCTACACCAATCTTCCTTACATTACATTTGGTTGGATTAAACTCGTAACAACCATTTGTTCAACCATTCCTTCAGCTTGTCTAGGTCTTCTTGAAGCCTCAAACAGTCCTCTTCTGTCTTAATCCTTCTCATAATTTTGGCATCGTCAGCAAACATTGAGAGAAATGAATGTATACCCTCCGGGAGATCATTTACATATATCAGAAACAAGATAGGACCGAGTACAGAGCCCTGTGGGACTTCACTGGTGACTTCACGCCAATCGGAGGTCTCACCCCTCACCGTAACTCTCTGCTTCCTATTGCTTAGGTACTCCCTTATCCACTGGAGCACCTTACCAGCTACACCTTCCTCTCTCTCCAGCTTATGTACCAGCCTCTTGTGCAGTACTGTGTCAAAGGCTTTCCGACAATCCAAGAAAATGCAGTCCGCCCAGCCCTCTCTTTCTTGCTTAATATTTGTCACCTGGTCGTAGAATTCTATTAAGCCAGTCAGGCAAGATTTACCCTCCCTGAACCCATGTTGGCGATTTGTCACGAAGTCCCTTCTCTCCAGATGT